GTGTCTGCTGTAGTAACAAAACAATGTTTTCGATCATGGAGGTAGGCAGGACTTGCCTAGTTATCTACCTGAGTCCAGGTGTTTGCCTGTAACTATGGGCATTCAGCTTTTTTTGCTCCAGGCTGGAATGGTCATCAGCAAACTAACGGAGGCAAAAGTGAAGTAATCAAGTCAAGTAGCTAGTACCCCGGGTCCAAGAATAAGCTACTTAAATTTTTAGTTGATGATTATCAGATTTTTTCCAGAAAAAAATAAAACCCTACAAACTATATGTTCATCGTGTAACCAGAACTTGGGAAACTTGGTGCTAATTCTACTTTCAACACTTGATAAAGATGTATGCTTTATGTGCTGTTGCTTTCATGAGGCTAATGGAACTTACACTTAGAAACCTACAATGGGAGAAATGTAAAATCTATGGAGATGATACACTAGTCTTTGATTACACAATTCAAGCTACAGTTGAGAAACTGAGGATATTTATCTAGCACATCACAGATGCAGACTTGAAACTGAAACCAGGAAAAGGTGTGTTTATGCACTATCAGAAATAATTTCTTAGTCATATAGTAAGCAGGCATGGAGTTCTCATTGATCCTTCAAGGATCACGTTGGTTAAAAACTAGCCCCAGCTTGAGACCTAACGAGTCATTTACAAGTTTTTATTTCTGGCATTGGTTTTGATGGTTTATGGTCAAATTATCAGATGGCCTCACCACTGTTTGTATTGACTAAGACTCGTACTTAGTTTGTGAGGACACATTCCAAACCTTGAAGTGTGCTTTGTTTGAGAACTATTGCTCATCAGGACGTTTTGTTAATTTTGGATACAAATTCCAGTGATAGTGAAGTTAAAAAGATGTTATAGAGCATGTAATTCCATATGTGAGTCATATACTAATTGATCCTGAATGTTAGTATAGTATAGCAAAGAATGAACTGCTTGCAGTTATAATATTTGTCAAATATTGTTGACAATAGTCGTTTGGTAGGTAAATAACTCTCTGAGTGGACTGCACACCACAAAAATAACTAAGAACTTCAAAAATGTGGAAGGTATAATTGCTCATTGGATACAAACGCTGGAAGAATATAACTTTGTTGCTCAACATTGACCAGGTGATAAGAAAGATGATTTAGTTTGCCAGCTTATGAGGTCATAATAGTTCATTGAATGTGCATATCCTGGATATTGTGCAACAGTCACAACCATTGCAACAGCAATGATAATGAATTGAATGACAAATGACTAGTCTGAAATTTTGTTAGAGGCAATTAAATGAACCAAACATAGCTTGGGTGCTATTTGCCATGCAACAAGGTGAAGCAAAGCCATCAAAATCTTGCACATGTAGTACTGATGCACATAACATCTGGCATCGGTATAGCCAGTTATGAAAGATGGTATACTATACATTGATTATGAACTATCAGGACAAGATAGCCAAGCTTTAGTGCTGCTAGTTGTCATCAGAGCTGTAAAGCAGGAAATGATTTGAGCATTGCATGAGATGAAAACTGGATTGCACCAGGGAGTGTCACACATACTATTGTATATGCATAAAAGTGTTTTTCTAGATACAGTTGTGTAAAGATAAAGATCTTAATTGATAACATACACATTGTACCATGAGCTCTGTTAGAGAAAATACTGGATGCATCGGGGAAAACTCCAGTAAGTAGTTGTAGGTTCTCCCCTTGAGAATCACCCTAGATACATCTAGCCCTCTGCCTGAAAGTGGAAAAGGTTATTGATTATCTATTACTTTAACAAGCTTAACTGTTGGTTAAAACATTAGCACAATTCCTGATAGATGTATGGGCTGAACAATGGATAACATAAGTTGGAGCAGGTGGAGACAGACGTCAACCTCATTCATCCTTTGTTTGCTATGTTGTGAAAAAACACATCTCATCATATAATATCCTCAGCCTAACTGATTGTCTGAACAGAGAAGCAGAATTTTACGTGAACCATAACTGAACTGATGGGTATTAACACCTTCCATATGTTACGATATTTTAATGTGCAAATGAACAACAGTTGACTATTTTCTGTCTGAACCTCCTGATGTTCCTATGAGAGGAACAGCTGCCAGTGTATCTTATGAATGGCCCAACATCCAGTGAAAATATGCTACAGTGTCTACAGGGATATGTGAAGAGAACTGCTTCTGCTATAGAATGTCAGAAAGGTTCTTTGATAAAACAGTGAGCACCAACTTGTACATATCTTGTCTGATGATGGCTCATTGAAGTGCACTGCACAAAAGTCAACAAGTTAAACAGTACATCACTGATGAAACTTTTGAATCTGGTTACTCCAGGAATCACAGGTTGGCTAGAATGATGAAAGTACTTTGTTGTAATATGTTTTACAGATATAATGTGGTAACAATCGATTACTGTACATTTAGCATAATTGTTTGATTGAAAGATCAACTGGTGAAAGGGCACTGGAACCTTTACTTTCTGAACTATTTAGTGATGTTTGGTTGCAAGATGTTAGACATATGTCTTGTGATAGTTGCTTGATATCTCCATCTAAATTTGAGCTGATGAAATTCACAGGTAAGATCATAGGGCAAATGATAGTTGCTTTTGACTGTTGATGAAAACTGAGAACTTTGATAATCCAATATGCTTACAGAACTTTACACTTCTCCATGGCCTCCTGACCACCCAGAATACTTTTTATGACATATTTTGGCAGACATCTCCATGTAAAACATAATGGGTGAAATTGTGCATATGGCAATGCAACTTTGTGTTATGTTGCCTTTTGAGATTGTGCTCGGGGCTATGTTAAGTCCATAACAGTCTTCCCAAAGTGCTTTAACACAAAATGAGAAATTGCCATAGAATGCATAAATCATTAGAAAATTGTATCATTTGTTAGAGTTGAATCTAAACTATCGTTTGTGTTAATCTGATGTAGGGAGTTTCTCACGGCTCCTAGGTGACAGTATTAACAGGAAAACATTGTTATTTGAGCTGATTGCTGTGTTATTCTGACAGGTAATTTTGATGTCATTTTTTGTATATCTACTACACTGGACTATATATACTTGCATGCATTTTGTAGTTGATGACACAAATGTGATGTGGATGGATGATTATCACAGAAAAGACCATTTCTGATTACTTCTATCTGTAATTTTATTTTTGTGATATCATTAAAGTTGGAGTACTATAACTCTTTAGAGCTTGAAAGCCTTATGCTTACAATACATGCAGAAATTGTGATTGATACTGTTGTCTGATGTGCAACATTGAGATAGATATATGTATGTTAGTGCATAAGTGTATTTCAATATATATATGAATCAGTTAATGTATATTTAAGTATGTTCACAAATGTAATGTATACAAGAGCACAATTTTTGGACAAATGAAAAGTATATTATAAATATAAGATAAATATGTTTTATAAAGGCCATGGAGATTTGTTTGGACTACAATGAGAGAAAAACACAATCTGTTCTGTATTATCATAATGCTGGTAAATGGGCTATCTTTGCTCTGCCTACCACGGGTATCGAATCCCGGTTTCTAGCGTTGTAAGTCGGTACTCATACCGCTGGGGGGCCACAGATATATATGTATATTAATTCAAAATATTATCCTCATTTAAGCAATAAAAAAGTCCTTTACTAGCTTTACTATTCTTATTGCACTAAATTGTACTATATGCAGAGCATTTCAACATGCCTGACCACTCTCTTGACGACATGATACTGACGGGTATAGAGACAAATTTTACGTCAAACAGAAACAGAGAAATTAAAGAAGCTTAGTGGATAGCACTGTTAAATACTGTAACGCCGAATGACATCAATCTCGATCCTGGGATTGTTGACATTCGAGCGTCTCTAAACAAATTCCGAATAACTTGTAATTAAGTTTGTAAAGTTTTATTATTATTCACATTTTTATTCATGCTCCCATTTCTCTACATTATCGATGTACATTATTATTTTCTCTAACTCTCATCTTTCTATGTATTCTATTTTTCTCTATCAGTCAAAAGTTTCATACATAATGAAAATTAATAATGATTTTTTGTTTTTTTATCTCTACAAACATATTCTCTCTTCCGGGAGACTAACGGCTGGTCACCAGATTCAACTCAACTGGGACGTTTATATGACGTCACACTTCATAGCATATATTGCATAGCCAACTATTTGAAAGCGCTCTAGTTTTGGGTTTTATTTTAAGTCTATATGTAATACGAATATTTAAGATTTATAACCACGTATGGACTTCAGAAGATACCAAACTGACCAATAAGTAAACTATATACATAAAAAAATGTTAATAGCAGAGAATAGTTAACTATTAACTGTGTAACTAAATGAAAAAAGGCACTAGATACACATACTTAGCAGATGGTATAATAAACTTCGTGGTTAAGTTAGAATAAGATGAAACTGTATTTTATTCAAAAATCTTATCAAAACCTAAACAAAAAATATATAAACCCCTGAATATCACTCGAATCTACTCCCATCATAACATTTTAAAAGAAATCCTAAATATTAATTTTTATACTTTTGGCCAATTTTGATTCTGGGGATGGGTTGGTTTTCGCATGAGGAGCATCTTTGAGCTTGTTTTATTTGAAAGGACAAGATAACTCAATTATTTAAAATTATTAGAGGAACTGATAAGTCTAAGTATCAGAGGTTATCGTGTTTTGTTGTTGTGTTTTTTTTTTGCTCTAAAGTCATCAGACTGATCGCTGAGCCACTTGAAAACTCATAATAAATATTTTCCAGTTTTTACATTACATTACTCTCTTTACCTAATTTGCAATCGGAAGTTTCTCTTATCATCAATAAAATATTTTTATCCAATACAAATGTTCGTTTAATTAACTAATCATTTGAATGAGTTCATTTTATATTTTAATCAATTTCATTATAATTCAATGCTACTGTCAACTTACTGCCACACTAACTGAGAACGAGAGTAGTGCTATTTCCGCTTAGCGTCAGTAGTTTCTGATGCAATTATACCACGTTTTATATTGTAGTTTGAGGTAATACATATAGCAGAGAGGGTTTATAGAAGATTGCGGCTAATCAAATTTGTAGCAACTGGAAAGTGAAAAAATTACATTTAAATCGATATTTTAAATGTTACCAATTTGAAGAAGAAAAATAACGGCATGACAGATGTAAAGCAAGTACGTGATATTATTTCTGATAGTGATACTAGTACTACTAGATTAACTAGTGCTACTAGTACTAATACTGGTAACATGGAAAACATAGTGTCAGATCTAAGCGAATCTCAGCCAGTTGAAAAGAGTGCAGCACAATTGAAAAAAGAAGCTAAGAAAAAAGAAAAACTACAAAAATTTAAACAAAAGCAGGAAAAAATCCAAGAACGAGCTCAGTCTCAACCAAAAACAGAGGTAACTTTCTCCAAACTCGTTGCCTTTACTCTCGCTATTAGTATCACTGTATGTATCATAATATCGCCATAAATTATAGTGTAAATACTACATTTTGAGTGTAGTTAGCTTAAAGTTGAAGTGAAGCTCAACCCTAGCATATAATTTGCCCTTACATGCATTTATGTATTCAAACAGTGTTACTATTGTGCTTACACTTACAGTTTAAAATTTTTATCATGTTTTTTAATGTTTGCCAAGTTCTTATGTGTTTAGATTTTTTATCTGTGGAAGTAGGCTGTTGAGCATGAATAGGCTCGTATCCATATGTGGAGTACCCTTACTAACACCTATCTTTTATCTTTAAGACTAGGAGCTTTCCTTCCAATATTTCTCTTCTGTTCTCATGCTGTTTCTTCAATGTTTGTTCTTTACAGAGAGCTTGGCCATTAGTGGTATAAATTTGCTAATTGATTAACCCTTTGATCTTCAGCTTGGTCACATGCACATTATAACCTTTTAGAACAGGATCATATTTAGAATTTAATTAAACTACTATAAGTGTATTTTAATAAATTTGGTATTAAAATGTAGTTAGAATTCATAGTTTTATTTTCTTAGTTAAAAGGAAATATTCAAATACATTCTCAATCTTCTGTGTCACATGATGCATCGTCCGTTTTAGTTGTATATAAATTTTCCAAGTTCCCTGTTATGGGTTTCTGAATTTCAACTCTATTAGAAATGCACACACTGGATATTGACAAGGCAGAATATAAAATTATAACTTTTTACCTTCATGATTGTCTGAGATATCAATAATTTTATCAAGTCCACAAGAGAAGCCACTTATTTACTTGCATCTGCTAGTCATATTGACATTTTTATAACCAATAACAAAAGCATATTCTGCACTATATAATCTAAACAGTTATGTGTTTAGTTTTGGTTGTTCAAGCTGGTAGTTCACAAGGAAATTGTGTGTGTGTATACTAATTTTGTAACTATCAGCAGTAATGAAATTTTTTAAACCTATTTATAGCTTATCTTGAAAGCTAGATAAATTATAGTAATCTTATAAATTTCTGTTCTAGTGCATGATATATTTTTTTTGTGTTCTAAAATGCATATTTGAAAGCTACATGAATTAATTTCGATTAACCAACATAATTAGAAAAAAGTAAGATTATGGAAGCAGACACAAAAGTATAAACCATCCTCAAGGTTAAAGGTAAATGCTAAATTTCTTGTTTCTTATGTATATTTTTTACTTATCGTTCAATAACATAAGTAACTGAAATTAAAACATTTGATAAGAAGAACTAAATAAAGACATTTCTCTTAATCTTTTCTGAAGAATGCATGCTGATTAACAATGTATGATATAACTTGGCATTTTATTCACCTGAAGCTCTCCTTTGTTGGGAGATACATTGTTTGTCACAGTACTGAGAGGCAGTTCAATAAAACCATAAAATTTAATGAAAGCAGATGTGAAAAAATTAAAAGCTGAGGCTGTTGGGACAGATAATTGCAGTTCTCTATTACAATCTGTGGTTATTCTAGAAAAACAACTTATTTCTTATTTTATTTCATATTTTTCAACTTTTTGTTTCACCATATGTTGATGATTTCACCACTGTTAAGGTAGAGAAATTAAGAGAGAAAATAGTTTTACTGAAGAAATGTGATAGCTATATATGAGGTTCTAGAGATTATGCAAATGAAATATGAAAACCTTAAGATGAACAAAAGTATTTTTATTCTTAGCATAAAAATCACCTTTCACTCGGACTGACTGAATAAAATCGGTGCTACTATAGCGTAAGGTCTACCGCCATATGTTGCCTACCCAGGTCTATCAAACATGTATAAAAATG